CTTTCCTACAAGGTCTAAAATCTCATACCAAAAAACAAATTTGTGCTACCAAATTTATTTTGAGATGTTTATGTCTTCTTGATTCCAAATGCCATGCTAGTGCAGAAGGATAAGTAAAGCCCATTTCATTTACTAGTGTGTAAACTAAAATCCTAAATAAAATTTTAGGACACAGAATGTACCAATGGAAAGATGATTCACCACAATCAAGAAAGACTGACTCAAAGAAGGTCAGGCTGGTATCTATCCATTCAGCCACCAATACATCTGTTTACACATCTACCTACTCATCCTTCTATCCATTTTCCCATTCACTCACCCATCCACTTTGCCATGCTTCCATCCATCCATGCACTCATGTATGCATTCATCCACTCACCCTCCCTTTCATCCATCCATCCATCTACTTATCCATCCATACATCCACTTACTTTTCCATTTGTCCATCTATCCACCCACCTAGCCATCCATCCATCCATCCATCCATCCATCCATCCATCCACACGTCCATTCACCCACCCACTTACCTTCCCATCCATCCACTCATCCATCCACCCACTTACTCTTCCATCCATCCATCCACCTACCCACCCGTCCACTTACCCTCCCATCCATCCATCCATCCATCCACTCACCCTCCCTTTCATCCATCCATCCATCTACTTATCCATCCATCCACCCACTTATTTTTCCATTCGTCCATCTATCCACCCACCTAGCCATCCACCCATCCATCCATCCACCCACCCACCCACCCATCCACCCACCCATCCACCCACCCACTTACCTTCCCATCCATCCATTCATCCATCCATCCACTTATTCTTCCATCCATCCACCCACCTACCCACCCGTCCACTTACCCTCCCATCCATCTATACACCCCTACATCCAGCTACATACCCATCTATCGAACCATCCACTTACTCTTCCATTCATCCATCTATCCATCCATGCACTCCTACATCCCATCCATCCATCTATCTATCCACTTACCCTTCCATCTGTCCATCTATCCATCCACCCACCGTCCGCACCCTCCATCTATCTACCTGAGGACTGGTCCATCTGTGTACTCATCCACCCATCTGTGCATCCACCAGTTCTCCATCCAGCTAACCACTTATTGAGCACATAATCTGTGCAGGAATTATGTCAGGTACAGGGTACTGAGAAATGAAAAAGTAAAATCCAGTCTTCCAGGAGCCAACAGTCCAGCCCAGCAGACAGCAAGGACAGGTGAAGGTGTGCAAATACATCCATGATGTGAGTATAAGAGTCACTGTCCCCCTGCCAGACCATCCCAGTCTGAAGAGGTTACCACATTCATGGGGCAGTGGATGTCCACTTTCAAGGTAAACTCTTAAAGGTGGAATGACTTCAGTTGCACAGTGCCAATGAATCCTCCAGTCAAATTTTTCAAAAAGCCCTCCAGTCAGGTTTTGCCAGATGCCCCTCTTCTCTGCCACCCACAGGATGACAGCTCCCTCTTCCCTTCATCTTAAAGGCTTTCACATCTGCTATGAATGTAAAGCATCATCAGCTGAAGGGTGGGATGACACTTCCCGAGAGAGCTGACAGTAGGTAGAAGTGATTGCTATAGAGGTAAAACGGAGAAGTAGGGACATTTCTCCCAGTGTTAGAGACTGAACTGTGTTCCACAAAATCCATGTGCTAAAGCCCTAACCGTTAGTATCTCAGAATGTGACTGTATTGGAAGACAGGGCATTAGAAGAAGTAATTAAGGTAAAACTAGGTAATTAGTGCCATTAGGGAGGGCTCTGATCCAATAGGACTGGGGTCCTTATAAGAAGAAATGAGGATACTGAAATGCACAGAGGGACAACTCTGTGAGGACACAGGGAGAAGATGACATCTATAAGCCTAGGAGAGAAGCCCCAGGAGGAACCAGCCCTATTCACGCCTTGATGTGGAACTTCCAGCCTCCAGGACTGCGGGAGGATCCATTTCTGTTTGAGCCCCTGAGTCTGAGGGATTTTGTCATGGCCACACTAGGTAACAGACAGACCCAGCATTCAAGGGGCCCCAAGTCAGCAGGCAAGAGCATTTCCCCAAAGCAGGCTCCTGCTGGCTATGACGCCTGAGCCTGAGGGTCTGCGGTGAAGCCTCTGGTGGCAGTGGGGTATTCAGAACAGAAAAGCTACAGAGAAGCAAATGTGCTGGGTCTGCTCCCTCAGGTTCAGGTCTGCTTCAGCTCAAACACCACCCGTTTCCCCCTAACCCAGCCAGCAGTCACTCTGCTCTCTCTCCTCTGAGCTTCATATAACTTTAAAACAAAATTACAGGGCCGGGCGCGGTGGCTCAAGCCTGTAATCCCAGCACTTTGGGAGTCCGAGACGGGTGGATCACGAGGTCAAGAGATCGAGACCATCCCGGTCAACATAGTGAAACCCCATCTCTACTAAAAAAAAATACAAAAATATTAGCTGGGCATGGTGGCACATGCCTGTAATCCCAGCTACTCAGGAAGCTGAGGCAGGAGAATTGCCTGAACCCAGGAGGCGGAGGTTGCGGTGAGCCAAGATCGCGCCATTGCACTCCAGCCTGGGTAACAAGAGCGAAACTGTCTCAAAAAAAAAAAAAATTACAAATAACGTATCATCACTTCAATCTGCCCTCCTTGTCTTTATATTAACATAGGATCTCGAACCTCACAAAAAATGTTCTATTTGGTTCGCATGAGCAACAACAAAAAATAATTCCGATCTCGACATTTTTTTTGTTATCCAAACAGAATACAACAACAAATACCTTTTCTTGTCGTGCCTTGGTTATCAGAGCAGTACTTCATATGATTTACACAGACACGTTTACATTATTTTAAATTTATACAAAACATTGGGTATCTTCAAACCTTTGTAGTCTAGATTTTCTTTTCGGTGGGCAAAGGACAATCCTTTGCCTGAACTTTGACTTCTATTATTCTCCATTTTAAGTCTTCAAGTGTATTTTTTTCCCCCTGATCCTTCAGAAATGAAAGTGTCTCTAAAAAAAGTTGAAAACTTTTCAACCTACATATTCTCAAATTTCATCATGCCTCACCACTCAAAAAAAAAAAAAAAGTGCACACAATTCTGAAAATTGCTGGGTTGGTAGCTCAAAAGCAGAGAGTTTCTGGAACTAATTTCTTTGGAGTGGTTATGCAGTCTGCTGGGAGACACAGCCTTGATGAATGAAGCATGGGCCCCCCCCGCTTCCTCTCGACCCTTTCAGCATCGACAGCGCTATTCACTCACTCACACACAGCCCGCACATGACAGCTGTTCAGGGCGACCCCCTCCACGCAAAGCAGAGCGATCCACTCCCACCAGCACAGGCGCCCTCTGCACAGCTGATATGCTCATGGCATCAGGCAGAGCGCAGGAGCACAGCAAGACCTGCAAGTGAAGAGCCCATCGAGCAGTGCCCGAGATGCCCCGCACGGCCGGCCTCAATGGCCTGGGAGCTGGGTTGGAAAAAAGACTGCAGCTGGCACTTGGCACGTGACCCATTAGGAATCCACAGTCATAAAGCTCTAATTGTGCTTCTCAGACACAGCTAAATTCTATAGGTGGATTATTCGTCGGCCTTTCTGACCCACGCATTCTTGGTTTCAGCCTCGGAGTCTGTTAAGTAACTGCAGAGACTTCCTACACAATCACACACACAATATCAATCCTGTCGCTGCAGAGTCACATAAATATTTGATCCCCTTGTAGAAGAGTAACAGCTCTCAGTTTAAAGCCAAATGGGATAAAACCCCATTACATGAGGCTCTTGAAAGCAAACTTTTTAATTGGCAATTTCTGCAACAGAACCTTGAGTTTTGAGGTGTTTAATTTGAATGTCACGGCAATCACACAAGATTCTCAAGGCAACAGAAAAATCCACACCCAGGGACCCTGCCATGCATTTACTCCCATCCCTCCATCCGCCTTTTTAAAACAAGATTGCACCACATCTTCTGCAGAGACACACGCTCTCTCCTCTTGCCCTCCTGGTGTGATAAAGGGCAAGATTATAAATATATATATTTTTTGAGACAGGGTCTTGCTCTGTTGCTCAGGCTGGAGTGCAGTGGCATGATCCCCACTCACTGCAACCTCCACTTCCTGGGTTCAAGCGATTCTCGTGCTTGAACAAGTAGCTCAGCCTCCTGAGTAGCTGGGACTACAGGCACCTGCTACCACACCAGGCTAATTTTTTTTTTTTTCTATTTTTAGTGGAGACAGGCTCTCACCTTGTTGCCCATGCTGGTCCTGAACTCCCGAGCTCAAGCGATTCACCTGCCTCAGCCTCCCAAAGTGCTGGGAATACAGGTGTGAGCCACCACACCCGGCCCAAATTATACTATGTATTGAATCTAACCCTATCCTCGCTGCAACTACGTGGCTATGCTGCACATTCTGGAATTACGGCACAAAACGCTTTAATCTCCTGTGGCTGCCACAGTTCCTGCAGATGCTTGCTGCCTCTCTTTGGGAGTCGACTGACTTGATTTCTATTTTAAAGCTCAAAATTAACTCATTAACTAGGTCCAATTTAGGAAGGCCTGCCCTGTTCCTTTCTTACTAACAATCCTCAGAGGCAACTCTGATTTCCAGGCCGCGGCTAGGCACACAGCTGTGTGCTAGATAGCTAAAGTTGCCCTTCCGTCAGGCTCTCCGTGCAAAGCGTGCAGCTCCAGCTTGTTAAATGGGACTTCTCATTCTTTTTCCATAAGCAGTCTTACCGTGCAGAAAACACAGTAGCCATTTTAAGAACCAAAAAATGTCACCGCCACAAAAGAAGGCCTCCCTGCCCTGGGCTGTATCTCCGGGCAGGGCCGCAGGGTGCACAGACATCCAGTGCACCAGGGATGCTAGAAATCACACTGGATTTCAGCCGCTTTGGGTTTGGCAAAAGCCAGACGTCTAGCCATGTTAACCAAACACTCACCCACCGTACAGAAGCCCACCCCCGGACACCTCTTCAGTAACTCTGAAACAAATTTCACCCACCTTGGCGTGGACTGTCCCTCCTCGGCACAGACTGCGGAAGGAAACTCTTCTCTGTGCTCGCCGGGGTCCTCTGCCTGCCTTCGCGGTTCGACAGAAGCTTCCTGCAAAGGGCAATACAATGAGACACCAAGTCCTCAAGCTGCCTTCCTCAGGACATCTGTGATTATGAAAGCCCTCATTTGTGGGTTCGCCTTGCCAGGGCAGCTCTACAAAGCATTTCATTGAGACGCCTGAACTAAGACCCCGCGCCTACTTCTGAGCAGGAAACAGAACTCCTACGTGAAGCCTATAAAAGTGTGTGGCACAATTGGCCAAAAGAAATAAAATACAGCTGGTCACAAATTATAGCGGTGAAGCCTCAAGCTCTAGGACTTGTCAGAGCCCGGGATTCTGGGATTCTTTGCTCCTGACAGAGCAAGTGTGGAATTCTCAGAGGTCATGCTGAATAGCCACAAGCCAGGGTATTCAACGGTGGAAACAAACACTCACAGCATCTGCGTGGTTTTCCAGAGCCGGGACACCACAGAGCAAACCAGCAGCTTTCTTTCCATGCACATATTAGATATCTTGTATTAAATCTACTAAGGGATCTTTTTTTTTTTTTTTTTTTTTGAGACAAGGTCTTGCTCTTTAGCCCAGGCTAGAGTACAGTGGTGAGAACAGTTCACTGCAACCTCAACCTCCTGGGTACCGCCACACCTGGCTAAGTTTTTTTCCTTTGTTGTAGAGATATGGTCTTGCTTTGTTGCCCAGACTGATCTGGAACTCCTGGCCTCAAGTGATCATCCTTCCTCAGCCTTCCAAAGGGCTAGAATTACAAAGACACCACCGCACCCACCCCAGATTCTTTTAAAAAGAAACTGCATCCATCACTGCAGAACTTTTTTTTTTCCTTTGAGATGTGCAGATGTAATAGGGAGAAAAAGCTTTCAAAGCAGGCAGGGGCCAGAGAGAAAGAGACTGTCAACTTTGAAGCAGGGCTGAGAAATATGCAGTTTTCTGGAAAGCTTGACATTAACTCTCACCATCAAAACTCTCACTTTAAAAAAGTGCAACAACTTAATGAGTTTTAAATACATTTTGCCCCAGAGCAATCCTTAAAAATACTTGCAAATAAAAACTAGAATACTAAAAAGACCCAAATACCATAAACATTAAATGTCACCCTTAGGTGTTTGAAAAGTGGCTATTGTATGTTGTTTTAAGCTTTTACATAAACCACATATTTCCATGTCAGAGGGATTAGTTATCATTCTCCATAGTTCCCCTCCAAGTTGTTTGCTGAGTATGAAGGTAGGAGCAAGCTACTTAAGGGGAAAGACAGTTAAAGCCAGAGATTATGGCAATGAGAACGAGAATGAAAAACGTGGTTTTCGGGAATGTGTCACTTTTGTCCCCGAATACCTCCGGGAGATCTGGGAAAGGTAACCTGCTTGCATAGCTGAAGCTGAGTAACCCTGGCGTCAGCCACTGTATTCTGGGTGTGTCCTGTCCTGGTATTAAGATGACCGTCAAGGGGGGCCACGCCCCCACTGTGGCTCCATGCTTACCTGTTTGTAGTGGTCTGTGGACGGCGAAGACCGAGACCTCCCGTGAACGTGCTGTGGCCTCTCGTGTGGGTCCAGGCCCACATCCAGAATGTCATCTGCTGAGTGGCAGCGCCCAGAGCTCCTGGCCTCCAGAGGCTTCCTCTGTTCCTTCCAGGAGGCCTGATACTCTGCAAAGGTGCCGAGCCTCCGTGGTGGGTCCAACGGCCCTGCCTTCTCCGCTGTGCTGGGAGCGCTGAGGGTCTCCCCAAGGGAGGCGGCACACGACCAGGGCTCTGTGCTCTCACAGGTGCGACCTGCTGTCCTTGGCCTCTCCGGCTTGTCTCTTGAGACTCCGTGAAGAGCCTGCCTCTGTGCAGGCCTCTGGGAAATGGGTTTGCTTGTTTCTTCAAAAAACTTCCACCTGTCGGCAAACGTGCCCATGGTATCCTCAGACGTCCTGGGGTGCTGGTGAGGACCATAGCCCCCTGTGAGGCCCACCTCGTTCATCTTCTCGGGTTCCGAGTAGGACTTCAGTTTCTGCTCAGCTGTGAAGCGCCTCCGGCCTCCAATGCGGGGCAGGTGGGGCCCACCACCTGCAGATGAGGGCGGCTGGGCTGGGCCTGCCTCCCAGAAGTGGGGGGCGGCATCTGGATCCCCCATCTGGTGTTCTAGTGACTCCGGGTACGGGTCTGCTGGACTAGGGTCCAAGTCACGGCGCTTGAAGGACGTGGCCCTCAGGACCCGGGCTTGGGCCTCCTTCAGGTGGTCTTTATAGGTGCCAGCGAGGGGTGCTTCCTGGGTGCCACCTCCCGACCCGGCCCTCCAGTGGCCAGTGGCATTCTCCGAGTCGCCTGCTGCAGTCAGAGCCACTGTGCTCCGGCTCTTCTGCAGCTTGGCTCTACGCATCTGGATCTCGTTCCGCAGGGTGGTGGCAAAGCGGTCGCTTCTCCGGGTGGGCTTGCCTACCTGGCCGTCGAATGGTGGTGGTGTGGCGGCGCTGCCCTCTGGGTTGCTCTTGGGCTGGCGCTTCCCCTCCTGGGTCAGGGAGTGCAGCAGGGGTGTCTCCTGCGGGCAGATCCTGCTGCTGTCCCCGTCTGCCCACGGGAAGCCAGCTGCCGGCCGCTGGCTGGCTTTTTCCCCACGGCTGAACCTGGGAGGCTCCTGGGCTCCCACGGAGCGGCCCTCGGCCCCTGTGTCCAGAGGGTAACACTGTCCTATCTCGCAGGCATCTGGAGGACCCTCTGGCTGAGGTAGGTGGCGGTGTGGGCTCTGGCCCACCGGGGGCTGGGGAAGATGCTCGAGGGCCCTGGGGGCTGTGTCAGAAGGCCAGCATCCCGCCCGGAGCTGCGCCGCTTGTGGGCCTCCCTGCACACGGGGCGGCCAGGGGCCCTTCCAGCCGCTCCCCAGCTTCTGGTCACAGCTGCTGAGCCCCCTCACCTGAGGAGGGCTGTCGTTCTGGGAGCTGGCAGCCGCTGGCTCCTGTCCGAGGCTGTCAGCAGAGAGAGTGCTGTGGGCGCTGTACGGGGGAGGGTGGCGGCCACTACGAGGAGACTGTGGGAAGCGCACATCTGAGCTGGACAGAGAAGCCTGCAGCCTGCCGGAAGCTCCTTGGAGGGTGTCCTTGGAGGGCGGCCAGTTGCTGTCTGCGCGGACCTCCCGCAAGCAGCCCGGGCCTCCCGAACCCTTCCCGAGGCTCCCCGGGTGTGCTGACCTCCATGGCCGATCAGTGGGCTCTTGTCTCCAGTCACTGCGGGGCTGAGCTTGAGCCAGGGCCGTAAAGTACTGTGCCACGGCTGCCTCTGAGAACACAGTGCCCTGGGCCTTCTCGTGGCTCTTGGTGGCAGCAAAGCTGTCACTGCGGAGAGGGGGAAGGGGAGGAGGCGGGGAGGACGGTGCTTTCTTCTTATCAGGAACATACCAGACTGGCCCAAAATTGGACCTCCCAGGGGCAGCCAGCTTGGGCTCAACATTGTACTCTGGCCTGGGACCTTTGCTGCTGTCACTGGGAACCCTGGGCGGGAAACACCTGGGCTTCTCCTCCAAGCCCTGATGGTCTCCTGCGGCCTGAGCCTGCCGGCCACCCTGCCTGGGAGCCTCCCAGAGGCCCACGCTGCAGAGGATGTTCTCTGCGGAGGAGGTGTCGGCCTTGGACAAGGTGTGGTCGGGAGTGCTGGAGCTGGTAGAGAAGGAGCCATAGGCTGAGTCGCGCTTGCTGTGGGCGCCCAGGTGGTCGATGCTGCTGTTGGACTTGGCCGCCGAGAGGCGATCGGAGGGGTGGTCCAGGCTGTCAACACTCCCCAGGGAGCTGCAGTGGTCTAAGGTTCGCTGTAGGTTCGTCTGTTCCCAGGAACTGGACAGGTCATGGGAGGAAGAACTGCAAGAATGAGAAGAAGAAGGCACGGTATGCTTTAGTGTCAGCAATGGCAAAGGGCAAGGTGGTAGACACAGCTGGCCCTCTGTGAAAATACCAAAACGCCAAACAATAACTTCCCAGGGTCAAGGTGCCAGGGCTGAGGTTGCAGCTCAGCACATGGATTTCAGTAGATACAGGGAGCAATTGAGCACAGGCTGAAAAGACTGTGTCCTTGCCACTGCATGCCTTTTTACCAGACAGATGCCTTTCAACCCTAGTGCCTGTTCTCAGCCTGATACCCAGATGGCTGGCAGGCAACGTCTGCATTTACACATCTATGGTCAATCAATAGCTAAGCGCAGGGGTGGGCACACCACAACCCAGGTTGTTGTTGGTTTTGTGTGTGTGTGTGTGTGTGTGTGTGTGTGTATATGTGTGTGTGTGTGTGTGGTTTTTTTTTTTTTTTAGAAGGTCTCCCTCTGTCGCCTAAGCTGGAGTTCAAAGCGTGATCTCAGGTCACTGCAACCTTTGCCTCCCAGGTTCAAGCAATTCTCCTGCCTCAACTGCCCAAGTAGCTGAGATTATAGGCACCTGTCACCACATCAGGCTAATTTTTTTTGTATTTTTAGTAGAGACGGGGTTTCACCATGTTGGCCAGACAGGTCTCAAATTCCTGACCTCAGGTGATCTGCCTGCCCCTCGGCCTCCCGAAGTGCTGGGATTACAGACATGAGCCACCGTACCTGGCCAAAATGGTTTTGTATGTTTTATGGTGGGGGGAAGAAATCAAAGGTATATAATTTCTCCTATTTCACCTATGAAGATGGTATGGAATTCAAATTTTAGTTCATATGTGAAGCTTTACTGGAATCCAACTGTGCCCATGTGTGTACATGTTGTCTGTGGCTGCTCTTGTGCATAGTTGAGTAACTGCAACAGAGATGTGTGGCCCACAAAGCCAAAAACATTTACTAGCTGGCCTGTTACAGACCAGGTTTGGTGGCTCACACCTGCAATCGCAGTGCTTTGACAGGCTGAGGCAGGAGTTTCACTTGAGACCAGAGGATCACTCAAGGCCAGGAGTTTGAGACCGGCCTTACTTAGCAACATAGTGAGACCCCCCCCCCGCCATCTCTATAAAAACTTTTTAAAAAATTGACTAGATGTGGTGGTGCATGCCTGTAGTCCCAGCTACTTGGGAGGCTAAAGTGGGAAGATGGCTTGAGCCTGGGAGGTTGAGGCTGCAGTGAGCTGTGACAGCACCACAGCACTCCAGCCTGGGCAACAGAGTGAAACCTTGTCTCAATAATAATAATAATAATAATAATAATAATACCGCCACACGCTGCTATGTTCAGCTTTCAGCTAACTGGTTACACCCTGGAGAGTTATTGGAACTAACATCAAAAAACACAGGCTCCTAAGCAGGATGGCATCTAAGAGGATGAAATTAACGGTGAGTTGAGACACTGATTCCTCTGTATGGTAATAATTGTGTGACTGAGAGCTCTCAATGGTGAAACTATCCAGAATGTGAAATGCTTTCTTTAAAGCTCAACAAAGCTAGGATGTTCACCCTTCAAGAGGAAAAGGCTGTGGCTCCACTAGGTTGGGGGAGACCAAGGATGAGAGAACCGCGTGACCAGGACAGAACACTGGAGAATGACTGGCTGTCGTCATCTGCGGGAGGGAGACGACTGTTTGGGTTTCCCACCATCTTCTATGAGAACAGACCACATATCCTCAAACCCAGGGCACGCTCCTGATTACCCACCAATACTCTAAGGGGGATTTTTCTGTGAGATCCCAAATCCAAGCAGATCTAGAAAACACTGAGCACTGTTTTCACACAGATGTGGGCAGTGCCCATGCTTCTTTCATCAAGAGACTGCCAAATGGGCTTAATGGAGATCTCCTTGCCTTAAGTCACTTCAGAATAAAATAAAAGGCCCACTGTTCACTTAAGTGTTACTACTCAGTTGAGAATCCGTGTTTGTTTGTTTGTTTTCCCTCAAAAACACACTGGGCTCTAAATGTCATCATCTTTTGTCACTTTAGAGGTAATGTTATATTTCAGATGTCCTTCCTTCGCGTCATATAAATCTTTACCTTGCAATTTTACAGACCAGTATTTCTTTTCTTTTTTTTTTAAGTGATGAGGTCTTGCTCTGTTTTCCAGGCTAGAGTGCAGTGGTGCGATCATAGCTTACTGCAGCCTTGAATTCCTGGGCTCAAGTGATCCTACTGCCTCAGTCTCCTGAGTAGCTGGGATTACAGGTGTACACACAATGCCCAACTAATTGTATCTTATTTTTTAATAGAGAAGGGGTCTTGCTCTGTTGACCTGGGTGGTCTTGAACTCAAGCAATCTTCCCACCTTAGCCTCCCAAAGTGTTGGGGTGACAGGCATGAACCACTGTGCCCAGTCAAGACCAGTATTCATTGACAGCCAAAAACGGAGTGGTTACATTAACTCCAAACACACACACATACCTGCATGCACACATACACACACGAACATGCTCACTCACACATACAGATACACATGTGCATACAGATATACATGTGCACATACAGGCACAAACACATACTAATAGACACATGAACACTCATACACATACAAGGACACACACATAAACATTTAGAAATACACATGCACACTCACAACCCCCCCACACCCACAAACACACACACAGATACACACACACACACACACCAAAACCAGACTATCTGCTGGTACTGCCATCCTCTTAACAGGAGACTAGTGAGGATACTGCCCCTAACCCCAGGAGGGTCGAGGGGAGAGGCTGCCAAAGCTTAACAGAACCTCTTAGGAGCTTTTACAAGATACACCTGCCGCCCCATACATATCTCCTGCCTTCCAGTCCACACATAAAACCCTGGAAAGGAGAAGGATGCTGTGGACGCCACCCCACCAGCTCAGAACCCTACTGCCTGGCATCCCACCTGGCCAATCCCAAAGGAGCTTGGCTGAAACCCAAGTCCTATGCTCCCCTTCTCACTCATGCCCTGTCTTACCATTTCATTTTGTGTCACATGCTTGCCTGTTCAGTGAAAAATTCAGAGCACTCCAACTGTGATTACAGATCGGTGGCCCAATCTCATCAGAAACATCGAAATCATTCTGCAGTCAAGAAGTGTGCTCTCCTGACAGGTTGGAAGGCCTGGGAGCCTGAAGAAAGGCTGAACAAACCTGCCATCCTGGACAGGACTGGGTACCTACCTTGCGTGGTGTCGGCCGGACCAGGAAGGGCAGCCGCTGGCGGAGGGGAATGGGGAGACCGCTAGCTCACGGTGGCTGTCAGAGAACTTGGTGGCATGCCAGGAGTGAGGCCTCCAGCCCAGCTCGCTCCTCCTGGAAAAGAACACAGGGGGCAGGGGTCAGGGACTGCACACAGCGCGCGCCCTTGTGCCAAGTAGTGCAGGCAACTTGGGACCGCACACAGGCCATGCGCTCGTGCCAAACAGTGCAGGGGGCTCAGGGACCGCACACAGCGCGCGTGCTCTCATGCCGAACAGTGCAGGGGACTTGGGAACCACACACAGGGCACATGCTCGTGCCAAACAGTGCAGGGGGCTTGGGGACCGCACACAGCGTGCGTGCTCTCATGCCAAACAGTACAGGGGGCTTGGGGACTGCACACAGGGCACACGCTCATGTCAAATAGTGCAGGGGGCTTGGGGACCGCACACAGGGCACACACTCGTGTCAAACAGTGCAGGGGGCTTGGGGACCACACACAGCACGCATGCTCTCATGCCAAACAGTGCAGGGGGCTCAGAGGATGCACACAGCGCACACGCTTGTGCCAAACAGTGCAGAGATAGATGCTGGTCATAGCAACTCGGGCAGGCACACGGCACCATGTTCAGGGGCTGCCCACTGAATCTGTACCCACACCTTCTTTTTAGACTTTTGTTCACCATCCATTTGCCCTAACGCAGAATGGTAATCACAGGCTCCACATGTGCAGCAGCCCTTATCTTTATTTTTATTTTTGAGACAGAGTCTCACTGCCACCCAGACTGGAGCGCAATGGCATGATCTTGGCTTACTGCAACCTCCGCCTCCTGGGTTCAAGCGATTTTCCTGCCTTAGTCTCCCAAGTAGCTGGGATTACAGGTGCTCATCATCATGCCCAGCTGTCGTGTGTGTGTGTGTGTGTGTGTGTGTGTGTGTGTGTGTGTGTGTGTATTTTTAGCAGAGACTAGGTTTTACCATGTTAGTCAGGCTGGTCTCAAACTCCTTACCTCAAGTGATCTAGTCACCTTGGCCTCCCAAAGTGCTGGAATTACAGGCGTGAGCTGCCATGACCAGCCAGCCCTTATCTCTAAAATGTGTTCCTCCATAAACATGGACAATTATTACTTGTCAATTTAAAATCTTACAAATGTAAAAGTCAATAAAGAGCATTTATTCTAAATAAATAAGCAAATTTTGCCCTCTCCCTGCCCCAATATGAACACAAACAAAATCTCCTATCTTTTGCTGGAGAAAACGCATATGGGTCCACCAGGCGGCTGGGTCACACAGAGTTCAGACAGCTTATCTCTATTTACCTCGGTAACAAAGTAAAGACAGCTAGCTTCTGGTTAACTAAGACTAGTAGCCGCATCTTCCCCTGAGCCTGTGAGTCAACCAAAGATCGCCCCAGGGAGTCATGACAACCCACACCAAAAGGCTAGAGTCCCTTCAGCCAGGGCTCCTGAACGTGGAGGAGCTTTCCTGGGCTCCCCTGCCACAGTCCCCACCATCCCATGTTTGGCTTCTTAGTGTCTGGGCCACGCCTGCCCAGGTGTGATGAGGTGTGTCTGGTTAGAAATCCCGACAGACAGGGGAACACTGCCAAGCCTGAGATCCTCCCAAGCTCACTTCTCCAGCTTCAGGATGGGAAGCCAGCTTTACTTTTCTCTAACTTGGGACAGAACTGACTGCTGACAGCCCAAACAAGAGTGGAGAAAGAGCTCAAGTGGGCTTCTTTAAGTGCTTTGTGGAGATCAGACTGTATCCCAGCAGGCAAAAACTAAAGAATATTATGCAATAAAGAACATCTTACAAAATAAAACTGAAAAGCATTTATAACACAAACCTTTCGAGGACTCGGATCATTTTAATGAGGAAAAGTATCTGGGTGGCAAAATGTAGAACATGCTAACTTTATAATAGTTTCCCAGGAACCAAAGACAAAGCATAAAAGACAAATTCAGCACCCCATGGAAGTAAAGTAATTATAAAACTCAGACTGTACCTCATGGAATTTCTCAAAATCCTCGTAAGGAAGGTTCTGGCCATGTGAATTTCATTTTCAGCTGGCTTTCTCTGTGCTATGACATCCACAACTTCTTTCATCTTCCTTTATAGTTAATAACTGAAGAAAATAAACTAGACTGACTGAAACTGGAGGAAAGGGGAGAAAAAGAGAAGGCTAGGAAAAGAAAACGTCTGACACTCAGGATGACGCTAGTTCAACCCTGCTACGAGAATAACTGGGCTACTAGCTGAGTCAGAGAGACAGCAACTCTCCATGGGTACAATAAAAGTTCTCCCAGATAAACTATCATTAGCAAGCACATATAAGAATATTAGCAACAGATTTTGTTCTCACAAAGTATGCATGCAAATGGCTGGGTGCTGCGGCTCATACCTATAATCCTAGTGCTTTGAGAGACTGGCATGGGAGGATTGCTTTCGGCCAGGAGTTTGAGATCAGCCTGAGCAGCACAGCAAGACCCCATCTCTGCACAAAATTAAAAATTCAGCCAGACGTGGTGGTATGTGCCTGTGGTTGTAGCTACTAGGGAGGCTGAGGTAGGAGGATGATTTGAGCCCAGGAGGTTGAGGCTATAGTGAGTCGTGTTCATGCTACTGCACTCCAGCCTGGGTGACAGAGCAAGACCCTGTCGCTTAAAAAATTTATACGTGTGATAGATTATGAGGAATCCAGTGACCTGTGACATCATGACATGAGGAAGCCCAAGTGAGCCACACGGAAAGGCCGTATGGACAGCGACACCAGACAGCCCCAGCTGTCGCCCAACCTCCTGGCCCATGCACCAGACACAGGAGAGAAGGAAGTCACTTGCACGTATGGCGATGTGGAAAAAGACTGAGGAACCCAGCTGGCGGCCAGAACTAAACCCCAAAGCTTTTGGGCATCTGCTCCTGCTCAAGTCAGCCCCGCAGAGGCCCCTGTCATGGGGGAAGGGAGAGAGTGAGTCCCTGCTGTGCCCTGCCTCTATTCCTGGCTTTGGCCCTGGACAGATGCACATCAATCCCGGGTAGAGCCACTGATGAGTCATGAGGGAAGAGGGAGGTCACTTATCCTTATTCATAAGTGGTTAACTGATTTAAAGTGACAACATCCTTTCCTTAGTCATTCTGGCCACATTGCGAGTGCTCACTGGCCACATGTGGGTAGTGGCTACTGCATGGGCAGCACAAATATGGACCAACTGCAGGCCTGCAGCTGGAGCACAGCCTTAGAGACGCAGTCACCTCATCTCATCTGCATGGCAGGAATGCTGCTACCCGCCTACGACTGCCTGCTGCCCGCGACCCTAGCACAGTGACTGTTCACACCACCTCCCTGCCCAACCCTTCCATAACGTGCAGATAACTACCTTTTGGAGATTTTCTAGAGCATATTTTTAATATTGAAATAGCCAGCCCTAACACATAGCATGCTTCTGAGTACCTCCATATAGGCCAATTGCTTTGTGCTCATACAATTTTACAACTAGAAATTCTATTTGACACCATTAATTTTGGGGCAACTTTTCATGCAGCAAAGATGATCAAAATGGAGGGTAATCATCTTAAATCTGCTTTTAAAAATAAAATCATTTTTAATTTGAACTTTTTGTAGAGATGGGGTCTTGCTATGTTACCTAGCCTGGTTTCAAACTCCTGGCCTCAAGCAACTCTCCTGCCTCAGCCTCCGAAAGCACTCAGATTACAGGTATGTGCCACTATGCTCGGCCTTAAATCTGCTTCTGAAAATCTGCTTCAGGAAGTACCTTCTTCCCCATGCACACCCAGCTTCAGTTTGCAGAACTGTTTCAAAGAAAATGAATCATTCCCATGCACCGATTCCTTAAATCCAAGTATGAAGAGAAATTAGCCCTTTAGCTTGGTCAGTTACATCAGAGGAGACAATGGCTTGGTGGTAACATTAACCTATGCTAGCAGTTATCCAAAAACCCCAACACACATTTCAACCTTCCACAGGCCTTAGGCTAAAATAAAGATACAGGGTTGTGAATGAATAAGGCAGTGATCATAGAAGCCCTCTAGCAGCTGAGAGGGCTAAACAGTCCCATTTCTGGAGCAAAATGTCATTCTGTTTAAATCTGAATATGTTTTAAAATAAAATTGTAATAATAATATAATTTCAGATTTACTCTTTTAACTTAGAAGTTTATTCTATAATGACGATATTCAGCTTATAGCTAATGTGGACTTTAACAGCTGGCCATTTAGTCAAAACGTTTACTGTTCCATGGATGGCAGATGGACAAACAAAATGTGGTCTATCCATACAATGGAATATTACTCGGCAATAAAAAGGAAATTCTGACATATGCCACAATATGGAAGACCCTTGGGAACCATATGCTATGTGACATTAGCCAGTTACAAAAGGACAAATACTGTATGTTTCAACTTATACGAGATACCTGATTCATCAAAATCACGAATGCAGAAAGTAGAATGGGGGTTCCAGGTGTTGGGGGAGGAGAGAACAAGAAGTTGCTGTTTAATGCACACAGAGTCTCTGTTTTGCAAGATGAAATAAGTTTCAGGAGATTGGCTGCATGACATAAATACTCTTAACACTATTGAACATTACAATGGTTAGGATGGTAAATTTTACATGTATTTTTACCATAATTAACAACAACAACAAAACCCCAAAGTGTATATTGTGCACCTCCCATAGCTATGGGACAACCCTGTGGATGTGTCCATCGGCAGGGACAAAAAGACAGGGTTGAGGTCAAAATGCAGGACAGGGAAAGAGGAAGATAGGAGAGTCGGAACTGGGGCATCACAGCCAGGGAGGCTGATGGCATGGAAGAGGGCTTCCCATGGACGGGAACGCATGCGCAGAAGGCAGCTTGGGTGGGAGCTGTCGCAGGCAGGCAGGGAACCTGGCATGGAAGTGAGACTTCCATGCCCACTTCCATGCCTTCATAAAAAGCATCTCACCTGGTTTACATCTTTGAAAACTGTCTGAAGAGAATGAGCAATGCTTTATGAGGCAATGAAAAAATGAAAACAAACCCAGAAGCTCCTTTCTACAAAGATAATGCACAGACATATATGTTGATTTCAAAATGACATAGTCAGCAGTT